ACCCCGACGGAAATCGAATTCATCAGAAGCCAGATAGAGCAATTCAATCAGGATACTTGGAAAATAGCTTTAAGTCTTCACCGCATCTCGTAATCGCAATCACCCGACGTGTAGCACCTTAAGACAGTTCCGCAAGATTGCCCCCCCCCCCCTTTTTTTTTCATAATAAACAGACCTTACCGTTTCCTAAAAGCTTTTTTACCTTCAAGATTTTCCGAAAAAATTCAGTTGATTGTTTGCGCTTGTATTATCCACTTCATTTCGCGTCTCTTCCCTGACTTCGCATTTCGCTGTAACTGTAACGCAGTGTTTTATTCATCAAAAAGCAACTAGCCCAATACCTCACTTTGCTCACCAAGATAAACTGACGTGACAAAAAAGAAGGGAGGGGAGGTGGTGAAATAAGGCAGCCAGTAACTGAGACATAGCCTGCTTCCATAAATCTGTCATCGAATAACAACGCATGAGACGTATTTGCGGGTCACCGTAGTCGTAGAGCGCCCCTCCCCCCTCCGCCCTCCCTCCAGAAACTGTATCTCTCCCCCTCTGTGACTACCCTAAAGAACAAGCTGTAAAAAAAAAAAAAGAGACGCTTGCGTGAACTGAAGCACATTCTCGTTAATATCAAATCGTGTCAGTCACTCTAGCTATCTTCCGCGGCGCGTCGTTATTGAGAAGACGGAAATAAGCTTCAACAAAGCCTAGCTTAACCACACTGTAATGATATATTCGCTATCGAGAACAGCACAGCGCTATATAGGACGCGTGCTTTGTACGCTAGCCCCGCAAGCCACTTAATTTAAAGGCTGTAATTAGCAGTGCACCAAGCTCGTCAGCGGCTGTAAAGAGGAGGAGAGTCATAATCGACGGCTTTCAGCTTACAACGCCTGCCACGCCTTAGCTCCCGTCCGTGTGGTACAGTTCCGGTATTTTGCACCATAGCTGCAGCCGTAATCAGGCCGGAATGGTGCTTGGCGAGGTGCTGTAGATATATCTGCCTCGAACGAATCGAAACGGTGATTCCAGCACGGACGTTGTACGCAAGGACCCGATTACGAGACACGGGAAGTATGTTGACGGTTTACTGTACTTGCGGAAGAACACAGCACAAACAGGTAGAGATGATCACAGACGGCTGCTGGCTCACGATAACGTTTATTTAGGGATGAGACGCGAAATGCATTTATTGCGCTGTTATCTTCACACGGGAACCATCATGAACGATAAATAATCGCACTTCAGGCACCAAAAAAACAAAGAAAGAGAGATAAACGATTTAGTTATTTGCGTAAAAGAGAAGGAGACGATGATGATGATGAAATAAATGTTGAATGTCCTGACAGGATAACAATTATGAGGAAAACTGTGCGAAAAAACGTGGACAAAGAGAAAGGGGATCATGAGCTCATACTAAGAATTGAAATATTTATGAAAAATAAGGAAAAGATGGGAGGCATTTAAACCATATGTAGTTGCCTAAACAGCAAGCGAATTGCTTTCTGCTGTTCAATCGAGCACTTTAGGTTGTCTCACTTCTTTTTCATTTGTTATTCCATGTCTGTGTTGTTCGTTTACTCATCTGCACACGTTTTTTCACGCACTTTTTCTCATGATGGAATCCCAACTCACCCAACAGTCTGTTCTGTTCTGTTCTAACTGTTTCGCTGCGGAGAGGTTAAGGTCGGCTACTTCATATCAATACGTTCTGCAGCGAAAAAGAAAAGAATAATACTGAACGGTATTTTAAAAGGACAATTAAAAAAACCATAAAAGCACACTGAAACCAGTTGGAATATTAGGTCAATGCACAGTTTGCCTGCAGCAGCTCCCACTGTCATAAACTGTTCGCACGCACACCTTCCTTTTCTACTGTAAGTATATGCACTAACACATTATATATATATATATATATATATATATATATATATATATATATATATATATATATATATATATATATATATATATATATATATATATATATCAATCCCTGGCTGTCTATCACAGGCGCTTATCTAGTCTTGCCTCCACTGAAAAGCCTGTTAGGAAGATGTTCACCTTTATCTGAAGATGCGTTTCTGGCCATGGTTCGAGTAATTTCTTTAATGTGAGGAGCCGTCTGTTCCAACTTGCTGAGTTGTTCCTAATTTTTCTCTTTCGTTCGCGTACTGAACGCTCTCCAAAAAAATATGGCGAACATTTTATTTTGAATGACCACAACAGAATTCCGGGGAGTTGGATCGATGTATTTTGTGCAGGAAGCTGTTTGTGTATGCCACTTCCAATCAAAGTCTGTGGATTAATGTCTCTAAGTGTCGTGGGAGATCTGTCGCTATGAAAAATTTTCTGTGTGGATCGACCAACAGTCTGTTCTTCTAAAAGATAATGATATAATTTGAAAAAAGGGAGGTCGACCGCAATCATAACATTAAGTTTGCTACCCTACGCAAAGAGGATGGGAAAATGAAGATGGGTAGAAAAGCAGTGAGAAGAGCAGGCTTGGGAAAAAAACAATTGCAGAGCGTGAGTACTAGCCTATCTAATAGGCCACTGCCGCGTAATAATTGCAGTAAGGCGATAATTAATTCCCAGGCCGACGACAGTTCACATGGACATTCTTGCAATGACTCATGGTCCTGTCGTCAAGGCGTGCCGAAACAGCACCTAGCGGCGAAAATAAGCACGGCACGGGATGTGTTTTACAGTAGTTAGGACATCGGAATGGTTAACAAAATAATAAAAAAAGAAACTGCGGATGACTAGGAGCCAGGTTGTGATAATGAGACTTAAGCTAAAGGTGATAAAAGTGTGTGAGCTCGCCCACGATTGTATGGATTGGGGATTGTCTCGAGAGGTCTTATACTTGCGTTCGACATAAAATAGGGCAATAATGAAATGTATGAAAACTATTAAAAATAGGACAAGTTGTTTTGCATTATAATACCGAAATATGTTTATGCTGAGGAGTTTTGTAGCCAGTAATAGTCGCGCTTGGTTCATACTCGATGTGATTCAGTTTATGTCAATGCCTTGCGCAGTAAAAGAGGGTAAAGCTAGCGATACTATTTAAAAGGGGGAGGGTGGAGGAGGTCAATATAAATTGTCATCGAGTAAATCATTAAGAGGATGTTACAGAGAGCACAGAAATTTTGCCCGCTTGTCTTGGTCATGTTGTATGCACTGTAGGCTTCACAGATCGCTCCGTGGGCGCAGCAATAATTCTCTCTACGTTGCGCTAAAACCACGTGTCACCGAATACCAGCATTTGCACTCCGGTACAGAGTCCAGGATGGCAGTGATTTATTTTCACTCTCTTCTGTGAAAATATCCATCGTGGTGCAAGATTAAGTCTACCCCGAAGTTCTCTTCATCAAAATCTCTGTGTAGAGAGCGGAGGTTTTTAGAGCGGGCGTCCTTTAAAGTAGATCTCCCCTTTGTAATTTCCTTTTCCGTCGCGCGAAACACCGCTCGCCTAACTCGACTGCTTGCAAGCTCATGCTTCTACATCGGCATTGAATTATACGTGCCTCTGGAAAGTTTCCTACGGGAATTGCTGAGTGAATATCAGGGCATCCAATTACAGCCTGCTTCATCTTTCCCAGACTCCTTGTAGCTACGGGCACGTGCCTAATTATATTGCAAATGCCTGCAAGGCCATTCTCCTTGTTCTCAAGCCGCTAGATCAGGTCTCCAGGTACCTTGTGTTATCATACAAGTTCTCGCTCCCAACTTCTGTCTAGCAATATTCGTGAGCCTACACCGCACTGCTTGTTTTCACTCTTCACATCCAGTTTCTAGTTTCTCTTTGTTTTACATCGCTTTCCTTTACAGCTCTTTGCCTAATCCCGGTTCAATTATCATTCCTTGTCAGTTATGTGTAAAATTGGGGCTGACTTTTGTTCTGGACATGCACTGCTACACCACCAATTTATTACAGTTATCTCGCAAACCAAGCCGGTCTCTACGAATAATACCACACGTTTTTCACGTGTACTTCTTTGGAAGCAGTGCCCTGTCACTGCTTATTGGAAGACTAACTATAATTTCTTTTGGCACTACTCAATCAACTGGTTCATTATTTGCTCGCTTTCATTAGTATGAGCTTGTTGGAAGTCGCTGTTATGTTTCATTGCCGTCCTAATATTGCGCTGTCATGGCAAAACAGTTAATTACGCAAGGCCACTGAGATCGTGTATGGGTCTTAAAGAACATTACACGTGTCAGCAAATTAGATGGCCACACTTAACTCCCTCGAGAGCAAATCGTTGCCCCTGTCCTTTGCACCCTGGGCAACAATACCCCCTCCCCTCCCCCATTCGGCTAGGTAGCTTTGCTATGGCGCCCTTGGCGACGGCTGTGTGGTCCGTCGATCTGGGTCAAGGATGGGGGAGACTCACTGGCGCGCCGCTATCGATCCAAACCGTGTGGCTCAGCACCGGCCCGGAAGGGGGGCTCCTCCGTCTCGCATTACTGCTTAGCGGGATGCGAGCTTGTGCATCCCGGGCCCCGGAGCTGGAACGCATTGCGGTGTTGGGCTAGGTACCGGACGCGTAGAGCTTTCCAGAAAAGACCTAGGAATAAACCCGTACTACATCGCGCAATCTGTGCTATGATGTGGCTTCATCGGTGTCTAAAGGGTCTATTGGGAAGCCCAGTCTGCCCTACGCAAGCACAAGGATGCACTAATACTCGTTGTTGGGCTAGTTGGTGCATTGCTTCAGATGAAAAACTTCCGGCCAATAAAATAACGCACACAGGAAACGAAGAAGGAGACAGGAAAGAGGCCAGACTACCAACTGTTTATTCACATATGCGTGGCTCAAGTATATATACTCATACGGTCACATGGTGAAGCTAAGTGCTCTTTAAAAAATAACCAAAAATTGCCCAAAGTAATAAACTGACTCATAATCATTCAAAGCTTTCTTCGCTCTACTAATCGCTACAGATTACAAACAAGATTCTAGGAACGTGTTTTCCTTCCTGCGCAGTGTCACGGAGCTATCGCTGCAGCATGCTTCACCACTCTTTGCAATATGAAAAGCTTCCAAAATTTCCCGTGCCAATTTTTCATGGCTTTTGCCTAAAATCTTGATTTCGTTCAGCAGTGGCTTACAATTGCACTGTTTACAATGAAGGGCTAGATTGGAGCCTGTGCCTTTCTCAAGTGATTTGAAATGTTCCCAGGCCCTAAAATTCACACAACGCCCTGTTTGGCCTATGTATAACATCCCGCACGTCAATGGAATTGCATACACCACGCCAACAACACACTTCACAAAAACCTTCCCATGCTTCGCCTCACACTGAAACTTCTTCTTTTTCCCGATGCGTGCACACAAACCACCCAATTTCCTTGGTGCGGAAAATACCACGGACACTCCAAACCTGAACGCCACTTTTTTCAAGCCATGCGCTACACGGTGCGTATAGTGCAACACCTGTGGTATCCTCTGCTCTGGACCTGTCTGTTTGGTTTTCTTTTTTCCTTTCATTTTTTGTAGTAACGTTTCAGCAACAGCTGACAAAACAGAACTGGGAAAGCCAGCGTTTTTTAGTCTCTCTATCTGGGCGGTGAAGCTCGTCTCAAGCATGTGCTCACATGACTTTGTCAGGGCAGATTCAAGGCAAAGAGAACCGATGGCCCTCTTTACCGTTTTAGAGTGTGAAGAGTTATACGGTAACAGCTCTTTCTTTGCTCTTGGCGAATACATCCAACACACGTTTCCATCACAACATCTAATGTTTATGTCTAAAAATTGGAGGCTATTGTTCAGCGGCACCTCATGCGTAAAACTCAGGCCTTTCCCTAGGTTTTTAAAGTAGCATAATACGCTTTGTACGGTGTTGTCATAAGTCAGATTAAAATCAGCTGCTAAAACTACCAAAAAGTCATCCACGTATCTAAAAATTTGCAGGACAGTGCCTTTGTCAAACGTGGATTCTAAATCCCGGTCAATGGAAGATAAAAAAATATTACACAGCACAGGGGCAACGCAAGATCCAATGCATATCCCTTTCTTTTGAACAAACAAGCCTGAGTCAAAGGAAACAACCGTCGCCCGAAGGTAAAACTCGAGGAGCGACATAAACTTGTCCACACTAATGCCCACAGAATTTTGAAATGCAACAGTTCCATTACACTCAATGCACTCTCGGACAGACTTAAACAGCTCTGTATGCGGTACAGAGTAGAACAAATCCTCGACATCAATAGAAAATAAAAAACCTATTTCCTTCTGCTTCTTTTTTAGAAAAGCAATGACATCTGTCGAATTCTTTGTTAAGAATGGGGACCCATTCTTAACAAAGAATTCGACAGATGTCATTGCTTTTCTAAAAAAGAAGCAGAAGGAAATAGGTTTTTTATTTTCTATTGATGTCGAGGATTTGTTCTACTCTGTACCGCATACAGAGCTGTTTAAGTCTGTCCGAGAGTGCATTGAGTGTAATGGAACTGTTGCATTTCAAAATTCTGTGGGCATTAGTGTGGACAAGTTTATGTCGCTCCTCGAGTTTTACCTTCGGGCGACGGTTGTTTCCTTTGACTCAGGCTTGTTTGTTCAAAAGAAAGGGATATGCATTGGATCTTGCGTTGCCCCTGTGCTGTGTAATATTTTTTTATCTTCCATTGACCGGGATTTAGAATCCACGTTTGACAAAGGCACTGTCCTGCAAATTTTTAGATACGTGGATGACTTTTTGGTAGTTTTAGCAGCTGATTTTAATCTGACTTATGACAACACCGTACAAAGCGTATTATGCTACTTTAAAAACCTAGGGAAAGGCCTGAGTTTTACGCATGAGGTGCCGCTGAACAATAGCCTCCAATTTTTAGACATAAACATTAGATGTTGTGATGGAAACGTGTGTTGGATGTATTCGCCAAGAGCAAAGAAAGAGCTGTTACCGTATAACTCTTCACACTCTAAAACGGTAAAGAGGGCCATCGGTTCTCTTTGCCTTGAATCTGCCCTGACAAAGTCATGTGAGCACATGCTTGAGACGAGCTTCACCGCCCAGATAGAGAGACTAAAAAACGCTGGCTTTCCCAGTTCTGTTTTGTCAGCTGTTGCTGAAACGTTACTACAAAAAATGAAAGGAAAAAAGAAAACCAAACAGACAGGTCCAGAGCAGAGGATACCACAGGTGTTGCCCTATACGCACCGTGTAGCGCATGGCTTGAAAAAAGTGGCGTTCAGGTTTGGAGTGTCCGTGGTATTTTCCGCACCAAGGAAATTGGGTGGTTTGTGTGCACGCATCGGGAAAAAGAAGAAGTTTCAGTGTGAGGCGAAGCATGGGAAGGTTTTTGTGAAGTGTGTTGTTGGCGTGGTGTATGCAATTCCATTGACGTGCGGGATGTTATACATAGGCCAAACAGGGCGTTGTGTGAATTTTAGGGCCTGGGAACATTTCAAATCACTTGAGAAAGGCACAGGCTCCAATCTAGCCCTTCATTGTAAACAGTGCAATTGTAAGCCACTGCTGAACGAAATCAAGATTTTAGGCAAAAGCCATGAAAAATTGGCACGGGAAATTTTGGAAGCTTTTCATATTGCAAAGAGTGGTGAAGCATGCTGCAGCGATAGCTCCGTGACACTGCGCAGGAAGGAAAACACGTTCCTAGAATCTTGTTTGTAATCTGTAGCGATTAGTAGAGCGAAGAAAGCTTTGAATGATTATGAGTCAGTTTATTACTTTGGGCAATTTTTGGTTATTTTTTAAAGAGCACTTAGCTTCACCATGTGACCGTATGAGTATATATACTTGAGCCACGCATATGTGAATAAACAGTTGGTAGTCTGGCCTCTTTCCTGTCTCCTTCTTCGTTTCCTGTGTGCGTTATTTTATTGGCCGGAAGTTTTTCATCTGAAGCAAGGATGCACATTTGATCGAGTTGGAGATCGTACATTACAAGAAACAGCGCGGACGGAAAACGAGAACGAGAAAACGAGAACAGCCCCGCCGCGGTGGTCTAGTGGCTAAGGTACTCGGCTGCTGACCCGCAGGTCGCGGGTTCAAATCCCGGCTGCGGCGGCTCCATTTCCGATGGAGGCGGAAATGTCGAGGCCCGTGTGCTCAGATTTGGGTGCACGTTAAAGAACCCCAGGTGGTCAAAATTTCCGGAGCCCTCCACTACGGCGTCTCTCATAATCATATGGTGGTTTTGGAACGTTAAACCCCACAAATCAATCAATCGTAAAACGAGAACAACAATTGCAAGAGGCGCATATGACGAGCGTTGGCTATGAACTGAAGTTTTATCGCAAGGATAACGTATAAGCAAATACCTTTCTTGAAACTACTCGCGCGCATACACGAACACGTGTCCAAAACAAGGCGTCACAAATACATGCAGTTTTCATTATAGTGTGTGGGTTCCCAAGATGCGTAATTTCTTTACCGTGGAGTGACGTCAAGGCTTGGCTCACGCAGATTTCTCCCGACTTGTTAATAATCTAGAGCCTGCATTACTTCTTGGTGAAACGGTTCTTTCAAACAATGCCTGTCTTTTCGAGAAGGGGCACACATGCGCTCTGGCGACAGTGCATGGGACTACTCGGAATGTAGAGGTTCCTTTTAAGATCCTTGAATGCTCGCAGAGCAGCACAATGATGCAGCAGCCCATTGTATATAGAATATCACTATCATGTGGTCGAACATTTCTTTCCCATATGTTTTTCTAGTTTTCCATCCACTCTGTTTTTTTACAACATGCGCCACTATCTAGAGATGTCAACGAGTTGTATATAAACTAAACAAAATGCAAGCTCAAATTATGCAAAACAATTATCTGCTGGCGCCTATATTGAGCCTTCGAAGCACGAAGGCCGGCTCTTGCTCTCGACTATCATCTTCTGCCGACAGCCAAGGCTACCTACAGCTAAGTCTGCCTACATTTAAGTTGTCAACAGCGTCGTCTTCCTGCACATTATGGGTGTAGTATATATAACTCGATAGCCAATTTCCTTGGTGTATTGCGGCGTTGTGTTATGCTGTGCAGATTACAGGATGCCGATTATTTTGAATTGGAAACAAGTGCAGGAAAAAGAAGAAACACAGGCTGCACGGAGAAATTATTATGCAGGCGCTAATCACAGTGATTTCACCGGAAAGGACACATGAGGTCTTTATGCAGAACTAAAGAAAGGTGCGTCGCTTCCCGCTAGTTATTTTGCATTCCTTACACAAACGTCCGAAGTAGAGCACAGCACGCGCCGAAAACTTCATGCTATGGTCCGGCCGAGCCCAGCCCGGAATTCTCAAATACGGCCTGTACTCGGGCCGCGCCTGAAAGGTTTGGGCCCGGCCCGGCTCGTTGCAGCCAGTTATGCCCTGAACATAAACGAGGTTTTCTCCACTCTTCGGCTATTGTGAAGATACCTGCCTCACACAAAATACACCCTAGTGAGTATTTTGCAACTTCTTCCAGTGTCACAACTTTCGCTGGCATACTCAGTATACTACCGGTTACTTGCACCCGCAATATTTTGTTAAATAATTGCAGGTAATACAAAGTTTATTTGTAGCCAAAGCTGGCTGTCTCATGTACGCAGTGCTAACCATGCAATCTTATTCTTGCATTTCAAAGAACGACTACAAAACATTCTACCCCCGAATGAAGTGGAAAAATGGCTGACACTAATAGTTGGAGTGTACATACATTTTATGCGAGCTGGGCCACTGAGTAAATGTAACAAGTCTCCGGCAACCGTAATTTGTTACGCCATGTAATAAAGAAAAAAACATGCTCTAGCTACTTCTGGCAGCACTACACCAGGCTGGGCAGCATTACACGCACGAAAGCTCTCCCGTCAACCCCTTGGCTGTCTCTAACGTACACTCTTTTCACGCTCTAAACATGAAGATTATTTCCCTCCCTTATTCCCCAACTTACCGGCACCACAGTTTCATTGATCTGCCAAAGCGAGCCACAGCCATGAGGAAGCGGGCCACTGACCTCGTTGTTCCCTGAAGATGCTGATGATCTCGTCCTCTACTTGTGACAGCCTGTGATATCCGAGAGCGTTATGCCTGTAGTTATGTATGTGGGAAAGCATTTATTGCAGCTCAGCGTAGTGCCATCCACATCATGCCATGCATTCGAACAGTCCAAGAACAAACAAGCCTCTGCCCCACAATCCTTCTTCGTATCTCCAGTCCCTGCAGCCCACGGACACTTTTCTACAGCAAGATCGTACTCAAGGTTTCCAAAATAACTGTAAATTAAAGCCCCGAATTGAACCAGCCAGCGCCTTCTTTGGCACTCCCCGTCGAACAGGGCGTATCGGATGTCCGGAGTGCGATCCCCCGCAGAGACCGGAAGCAAGAGAACGGGTTCTGCAGTCGCCGATTACCAAAGGCCTCGATTTGAACAGGGTAACGTAGTGTGGTGGTGTTTGCAGGCTTTCAGATCGGGGCAGCAACAATGTAGGAAAAGAATATACATGACAGAAAGGAATAAGCGGCGAATAAATGGTGAAAGAAAAGGTGGAGGGTAAACTAGAAGTGGCATGTTCGCCAGAGATACTTCGACGTGACAAGCGGGAGGCATTCCGGAATTTTTTTTACAAACATGTGCTGCGCAGTGCATGTGGCTCCCTCAATTTCCTAATGAAGCAACTGTGCAGTTTGCTAAACTATGTGATGCCAGAGGGTTGGTCCACTGCAGACACCCACGAAAGATAAGCTAAGCGCGTGCAATCTGTATACGTTAAACTGTTTACGAGAGTAGGAGCTCATCTTCAGTTTTGACGTGCGTTCCTCATTCGTTGTGTCTGAAAATGACAGAAATAGGGATGAAAACTTTGAAGGAACGAAAAATTTCTAAACTCTGGGAACCACAGGATTCATCTGGCATTCATGCGGTGAAAGGTTCCAATACCTTTGGCTATGCACCCCACCTCCCCTGTTTCAAGAGCTATACAACAGCAAATCAACGTCATGACCTTCCTTACGTAGAGCTCTTGCTTCGTTCCCGGGAGTGCTTTCACTATTTTAAGTGCCATGAGATCACTTGTGCTTCGACGAATGAGGACGCTTATGAATTACCGTCGAAATACAAAAAACACGAAGGTGGCCGTAAAAATACGCGAAAATTTGTTCTATGCCATGTTCATTCCAGTTAAATGCTAAACATTTTTGGCTAATCGCCGAGTAATAAATATTTGCAGCTGCCTAATTAGCCACATTTGCATCGATTGGCGCACCTGTGACAATAGTCACTCCACATCAGCACTTAAAGCGCACCAACAACAGCAGGCGTAAAAAACGTGGCCGGCATGTGAGCGTATCTGCACACTTGAAAAGATTCGCTAGATACAAGCGCGCATATCTCATTTACACTATGATGTTAGTAGTGTATATCGTTGCCGTTGCAGCAGTACAACCTGCATGGCTAACCTTTCGTTGTTGTATGCAAGAGCGTCTCTCTTTCAAGATATAATGGTTGAAAATTAGATTACAAGTTTTTTGATAATACGTGTAGCATACCGACGTTGTGAAATGCTAGGCGTTTTGTACTCTCCGTTTTCAGTGCATGCTAATGCGCTGCAGGTGGCCTAAATTATAGCCGAAACCCTCAACTATGACATCTTACGTAACCTGAGTTGCTTCGGGAAGGCTAAACCCCACAAATAACAAAACCAAACAGCGTAGACACGCCATTATATCGATATGCAGGCTGTTTTAAAAATTTTGTGCAGTAATATTCAAATGTACAGAAACGAGTCATCTGCGTCCTACCTGCGGCATTCCCTTTACTTTGGCAGAAGAAATCTTGAGTATATAGAACCATTAATAGCAAAAGTAATTATAGAAATTAAAACAACTAGCTTTTTATTCACTGGAAATGTCCGGCCGAGTCAAATGGGCAAATTAAAGTTCATTCTACGAATAGCCTATTGCCGCTTGAAAATATTAGAAAAGCGGCCACTGGTAATCACCACGGAGCGAGGAAATCTAGCGAATTTAGCTGGCGAAACAGAAACCGACGCACCAAACTGCGCCTCCACTGTTCACATAGAAAGCACCCACAAAGAAAAGTTGTTTGTTTGAATTTCTTTAATTACTGTCGTAAGAAATGTTTGTACAGATCTTAATATACGTTGTGACAAGCTATAAAGGAAACGCCGCATGTAGGGCACACAGGCCTTTTTCTGTAACATTGTAAATAATATTGGACACATTTTTTGAAATACTACTCTGTATATGAGACCCGGGCCTAATACGGGCCTGACTCAGGCCCGGGCCCGACCGAAGCCCAAGGATCATAGGCCTCAGTCTGGCCCAGGCCATATCCAAAAATGCCCTACCCGGCCCGGTCCACGTCGTCATAGGACATCCTCTCAAGCCCGCAGCCAGGAAGGCTGCGGGCCTGAGAGGAAAACAAAGCTAGCTGCCCCCTTCACACTGAAAATTGATGTTACCAAGAACAAACAATCAAAATGGAGGATTTTCTCAAATAATCAATGCCTTCAATAAGTGTCCCCAACCGTAAAGTTTCCCCTAAATACACAAGAGGGAACGAAGAAACTCTGGCGCTAATATCTATGTGAGCTGCTGCGCACGGCGCTTCAGCGAGCATGGAA